TTTTGTTAGTTTTGCCAATTTTGTTAATCCTTTCAAAGAACCAGCTTTTTGTCCTGTTGATTCTTTCAATAGTTTTTCTATCTCCTTTATTTCTGCTCTGATCTTTATTATTTCTTTTCTCTTGGTGACTGTATGTTCCCTGTTTTGGTTTGTTTCTAGTTGCTGGAGATGTTGTGTTAATGTGTTAATTTTGTTTCTTTTTTTTTGTATGTGCGCATTTATTGCAATAAATTGTTCTCTCAGCACCGCTTTCACGGTGTCCCAAAGATTTTGGTATGTTGTGTTTTCGTTCCCGTTTGTTTCCAAGAACTTTCTAAATTCACATTTAATTTCTTCTATTATCCAGTCACTCTTCAGCAGGGTGTTATTCAGTTTCTATGTACTAAACTTTATTTCCTTGGTCATCTAATTGTTGAATTATTATTTTATGGCATTATGGTCTCAAAAGATGCTTTGTAGTATTTTGATGTTTGTAAATTTATGGAGGCTTGCTTTGTGATCTAACACATGGTCAATTCTGGAGAATGTTTCATGTACACTGGAAAAGAATGTATATTGTGCTGTTGTTGGGTTCAGTGCTCTGTACATGTCCTTGAGGTCAAGTTAGTTGATTGTGCTGTTTAGTTCCTCTTTAGCTTTGTCGAGGTTCTTTCTGATTATTCTATCCCTTTTTCAAAGTCTCGTATTAAAATCCCCCACTATAATTGTAGATATATCTATTTCTTTCTTCATTTCTAGTAGGGTTTGCTTTATATATCTTGGTGTTCTTTCATTTGGAGCGTAGATGTTAATTATGGATACTCATCCTGCTCAATTGACCCTTTAATCATGAGATAGTTTCCTTCTTTATCTCTTACAGTAGTTTTTGGCTTAAAGCTTATTTTATCAGAGATTAGTATTGCCACTCCTGCTTGTTTATTGTTGCAGTTAGCTTGGTATATGTATTTTTCCCATCCTTTAACTTTTAGTCTGTTTCTGTCTTTGTGTGTAAGGTGTGTCTCTTGCAGGCAGCATATTGAAGCTTCTTATTTTCTTATCCATTTAGCCACTGTCAGTCTTTTCACTGGTGCATTTAACCCATTGATATTCAGTGTAATTATCAATTGTTGTTGTTGTTGTTAAGTGCCGTTGAGTCGGGTCCGACCCATAGCGACCCTGTACAGGGTTTCTGAGGGTGTAAATCTTTACGGGAGTAGAAAGCCTCATCTTTCTCCCGCGGAGC